CAAATTATATATCAATATTCTTATGAAATATTAGATATTATTATGAAAATCTGGCCAATTACTACTCCCATTATTACACTTCTTTTTTCAACATGCTGTCCCAACAGCACTTTAATATGCAAATTAGATACAGTGTATAGATAACATTGTGCTTAATGGGAAAACCAGTTTATGGAATTTTTACACACATATTGCATAATGCAAAATGGTATATCAAATCATTTTGTTATATGTTTTATAACATAGTTGAGAACCATCCTTAAACAAAGTTAGTTATAACAAAAATCCTGAAACCTAAAAATTGATTGGAGATTTAACAAAAATTCCTATTGTTTTTGCCTTTTCATGTCTACTCTTGTCATTTTATTTTTTAGAAAAACTGAGTCCTGGTGTCCTACATACATAACATAACTTATGAATAAAATATAATTTTTCAAAAATTGTATTTTACCATTTTTTTTCTTATGCTCTAAACAATGTAATGACATGAAAAAATACTAAATTCACAAAGCTTTTTATTTCTGGTTCTCAGGAGGATAATATTTTTTTGCTATGGTACTGAAATTGGTTCTGAAAATCATTTGTTGTATTGTATAAATAAAAGAGCTCATATTAGAGAGCTGATTTTATAGTTAAGACATGGCCATAAACTGTATGTTATTAAAGACTTCTGGAGAGAGGAATATATTACTTTAGGGCATGATCCTTGTCTTTTATTCCCGCCATAAATACATTAAAAATGTCACGGAAAATTATCACTGAAAATGAGTGGGAACCCTGATCAATTAGTTGCATCTGCCCACAGTGCACGGAAAACTTCCACCAGTCGCGTCAAATTATACTACTGAATAACGCATTTCTATTGACAAAATACATCTAAAAGTAGTGGAAAAAACAAGAGTGAGGGTCTGCAGGAAAGGTAAGTGATCCAAGCTGCTGGAAACATGAGAATGCTTTATTTTAAACTTAAAGCTAATGCATAAGCGTAATGTTTAACACGGCGTGCCCTGTCAGGCGCTTTGACAGATGCGCATGCTGTTTAATGTGTGATATAATTCCTTGGCGCAAAACTTTCATTTTACGGTTATATTCTTATCTGTAAATGTTACATATTGAAGCAAGCCAGTGTTTCTATTTTGCATGAAGGCTCATCCTGACAGTCTGCGTTAAACTTCAGACTTTACTGAACGAGCGCCGGCACGCATGCACGTCAAACAAATGGAACAAATGGAATGGAAGAGGAAGACAATTAATATTCAGCGCAAAAATATTCATTTTGCTGATATATCTGTTATAGGATGTTAAATTTAGGTTTAAAGGTCAACATGTAATTCAAGTATTTTATGATAGTAACTGTAAAGGGATAACAGTGTGTGATTGAATATAAATGTAAGACGTTTCTGACATTTACAGACTAAAGAAATGACAGTAAGAGGTTACCGTGTTCAGAGTGAATGTGTGTGTTCCTGCAGAACATTCCTCTTATCTGTTAACACAGAATTTGTGCTTTTAGTTGCAGCCCTAATAATTAATTCCATTTATTGTGATTAACCCTTGTGTTGTGTTCAGAACCCTTTCACACTTACGAGGTTACAGAGCAAAAAAGGCACTCCCTCAAAAAATAGCTTATAAATCACTCATCATGCTATATTATCACCAAATATCGGATTCAATCTTTTTGTCAACTTCTTTTCTTTCATTTAGGTCTGGTTTTGTATTTCAGCCACATGAGCAAGGTGAGCATGTGTAATTAACACAATAATGCGTGATTTCAAATATTTCAAGATTTTTATTTGCACAAACATACTGTTGCATCAGAAAAATGCTCTTTATTTTGTTAATGGCAAAAACGTATTCCCAGAACTTTGGTTTAGTTAGCCAACTACAGATACAAACTCAACTCACTGGCTTCTCTCCTGAATGATTTCACACGAGTCTCTTCAGACCTCAGAACTGTACATGAATTATGAGCTTCTAGAACTTCTTATTGAAGCTGTGCGTGACCTCCTAACTGAACTCCATTCCACAAAACAGTATAAATAACAAAAATAAATAACATTTTTTTCTTAGTCGTAAGTGCAACCATAATAAAAGTACTCTCTCAATATTCAGTGGAAATGGAGACCACGTTTTTCTTCAAGCATGATACAGAGCTAAGCGATGATTACAACTACACAGCCCAGCCTAAGATAGGTTTGATATTAGAAATTATTGTATGTAACCTAATATGCGTGCTGCTCTCAAAATGTGGGGTATTGAAATCCCTTTAAAACGCGCTTGTGTTTGACTTTCGCTTTTGAATTTGCTATCACGCGTACTCTTTGTATAAGAAGTGGCGGTGCTGAGAATGCATTCTACAAGATAAGCCATTTGTCAGACGCTTAAGCTCTGTTGCACAACGAATCCTCCGCCATGGTCTTGTCAGTCATCTCGCCTTACTCTTGACATGTGATCAGTGAACTCTGATTCCTGCTGCACTGTGTGCAACTGCAGCTCATGCTGAATGAGAAGAGCAGCTGCTAACAGTTTAGAATTGAAGCGACCGTTATCCAACTGAATTAAATGGTTTTTATTTCTATAAAAAAGCTAAACGACAGTGGAGTAATGTAAACATAACGGTGGCATATTCTGTGCTAATTTCACCCTCACACTCCTTCATGGCGATATCGCGAGAGCTTTTCACCTCAATGAGAAATCTTGTCTCAATCTCAATTCACATCTCGTGGCACAAGATCTCATCACACCCCTAGTAGTAGTATATGATTAACACAATATTAATTTATATTTATAATATAAATGAATAAAATAATTATATATATTACTAGTTATATTGATAGTCGTTGATATTCATATTGTCGATAATAATAATTTATTTAACTATTATACATATTACAGGCAATTTCCCTCCTCCCACTACTCCTGAGGAGCTGGGCGCTCGTATCCTGATCCAGGAGCGTTATGAGAAGTTTGGAGAGAGTGAGGAGGTGGAGATGGAGGTTGAGAGTGAAGATGAAGAGGATGAGAGAGTGGGCAGGGTGGTAGGACATGCAACTCAGTTAGACCAGGACACACAGCTGCAGGACATGGACGAGGTGAGACAACCAGGGTGATCATATCAGTGGACGAGGATGTTACATGTTCACATAATGTAACAAATGAGCAGTTCATAGAAGTGGGTTAACTAACACTCTGACTGACCTGTTATTCCTCTCTCAATAGGGCTCTGATGAAGAGGATAATGGCATGAAGGCTCCTCTACCCCCTGATAACCCTGTGCCACCACCTCTGCCTCCCACCCCGGACCAGGTTATCATCCGCAAAGACTATGACCCCAAGGGTAAAGGCATTTTTAAACACACACTTTAACATACTAGAACAGCAAATATTTCATTGAATCCACTCACTTTCTGTCTCATCTTTCTTTCAGCCTCTAAGCCTCTGCCTCCTGTGGTCGCCCCTGGAGAGTACCTCATCTCTCCCATCACTGGTGAGAAGATCCCAGCCAGTAAGATGCAGGAGCACATGCGCATCGGCCTGCTGGATCCCCGCTGGCTGGAGCAGCGTGACCGCAGCATCCATGAGCGTCAGATCGAGGAGGAGGTGTACGCTCCGGGCCTGGACATTGAGAGCAGCCTGAAGCAGCTGGCCGAGAGACGTACAGATATCTTCGGTGTGGAAGAAACGGCCATTGGTAAGAAGATCGGAGAGGAGGAGATACAGAAACCAGAGGAGAAGGTAAGAAAGAAAAAGAAAAAAATTATATCTGCTGTTCAACATTGTAGTAGACAAATTCATTAAACTAGTGTTCTAAAAGTCTGCAGGACCAAAACAATGCCCGTTGTTGAGAAACCCATAAACACTTAAACCAGATCACTAAAACTAATTATTTAACCCTCTGGTGATCCTTTTTTTTCTTTTTCTTTTTTACTTCATCAAAATTGTGGACATGATTAGAAAGGGTTAAGTTAATATTATAATTATTAATTATTTATTTATTAAATTAAATTAAATGCATATATTCATATATAGAAATTATAATATAGGGCTTATATTATTTCGTATAGAAATAAATGGTGTATAATTTAGAGGTGAAATCCTCTAAAAATAGAAAATATTAAAGAATAATTATTATTAAAAACATACAGCACATTAATAAAAAAAATATTATGCTTATTGTCCTTGGTGCCCCCTTAGTGAGGAATACCAGAAGGTAGTAGTGTTCATCTAACACCCCTTCCTCTTATTCCGCAGGTCACATGGGACGGTCACTCAGGCAGCATGGCTCGTACCCAGCAGGCGGCTCAGGCTAACATCACCCTGCAGGAGCAGATTGAAGCCATCCACAAAGCTAAAGGTCTAGTGCAGCAGGACGACACCAAGGAGAAGATCGGCCCCAGCAAGCCCAACGAGATTCCTCAGCCGCCCTTGCCATCAGTAGCCCCCAGCCTACCCAAACCCACCCCACCCATTAGCATCACACCTGCTGTGAGTCTCAATCTGTGTCTGCATTCGGGAGTTTTGAGAGATCAGCTTGATTGTCAAACACAAAAATTAAAGTGCTCGTTCTAACTAAAGGTTCTTGTGTATATTCCAGATGGCACCTCCAGTGCGGACCACCTTGCTCCCTGCTGTTCCTGTCATACCCAGACCTCCAGTGGCCCCTATGGTGCGGTTGGCCCCTGGGCAAGTTCTGGCCCCCATGCCACCCATGCTGCATGCCCCACGCATCAGTGTGGTGCCCATGCCACCCTCTGCATCCCATATTATGGCACCCAGACCTCCACCGATGGTGGTTCCTACTGGTGAGTCTTTGGAATAACAGATCTGTTGCGTAGCTACTTGTAATTTAAAAATGAATTTAAATAAATATTCAACAGACATTTCTATATTAAATATAAAAAAAAGTTATATTATAATAGCAGAATTTATATTATATAAATAATGATTTTGTTATTTAATAAACCTTTTGTTATATAATTGTAATAATAATTACTAATAAATAATTAGTAATTTAATAATTGATTTAATAAATAATTGAATAATTATATTAATTTTGTTAATAATAATAATTTTGCTATAATTAATCAATCTCTTTTGTTTTGTAGCATTTGTACCTGCTCCCCCTGTGCCTCAACCTCCCAGCGCTGTTGCCGCCCCCATGCCTCCTGCCCATCCTCCACCTCCTCATGAGGACGAGCCTTCCAGCAAGAAAATGAAGACCGAAGACAACCTGATTCCAGAAGAGGAGTTCCTGCGCAGGAACAAGGTACAATGCTGCTGCAGCAAACTGTTTTGAGTGCAGTTAGCAATGAATATTTTTGAACTGTTATTACATAAGGGTCATTTGTTAATCATTTTAATTTGACCTTTGCTCTCTTTTAGGGACCTGTTGCAGTCAAGGTCCAGGTGCCCAACATGCAGGACAAGACAGAATGGAAGCTGAGTGGCCAAGTGCTGAACTTCAGCCTGCCTCTCACAGACCAGGTAAAGAGTTTGCCCATCTCGTATCTGTATGCACCATTCGTACACATTTTAACTACTAATCCTTAGAATTATACAAAACATGTATAGAATTCATTAAAATGTGAGCTAATCAAATGCCATACTGTGCCTCAGGTGTCTGTCATCAAGGTTAAGATCCATGAAGCCACTGGTATGCCGGCTGGAAAACAGAAACTGCAGTACGAGGTAAAATATGTCAGTTGAATAATGAGATGCTTATTTTATTTAAACTCTGAATGCTTAAAAGAACAAGGCATCTTAGTTATGACATTACTAAATATAAAAGTACTTGCTTTGAAAACTCAGATCTCCTGTTGTGTTGATCTCCAGGGAATTTTCATCAAAGATTCCAACTCTCTGGCCTATTACAACATGAACAATGGATCTGTCATCCATCTGGCCCTTAAGGAGAGAGGAGGAAGGAAGAAGTAGATCGCTCATCTCCTCTTTTTCAATCCTCCACATTAATTATTGTGCTTATAATCCTGTTACTTTTGTACACTTAAAAGAACTTGTGCTGTGCTCTGTAGAAAAACAATTCAAAGTAATCAGTGTCTTGTGATTATCCTACATTCAGTGCATGAATAATTAAATAACACAGAACATTTAATATTGTCTCCAAGCAAACTGCCCTTTTTTAGTCTCACTTTTCATTGAGGTGATTGTGTTAAATATTTGCAAATCTAAAGTTTAGCTTTGAAACATTACATTTTGTCGGATGCATAATAAATACTTGTCTCTTTGGAAAACCTACCTAATAAATTTCAGTAAGAAATGTTATTAGCCATACTGTCTTTTTTCCTGATTTTGTTATTTATTTTGTTTGCTTTATCATCGGATCAAACTAGATTTATAATATATATTGTAGAAAAAAACAACACCGCAGGTAAGAGTGGAGCTGTTGCGCTGCTAGCATACAGTATACAGCATACAGATGCGTGTTTGACACTTACATAGATTTGTAATAAACATTGCATTTATATTTTATTAACATAACATTGTTTAATTGCTAATCTAGCGTCCAAAAGCGTGCCCTCAGTCATGTTCTCAGACGTGATCGTGCCGAAGGAGACGTTATTGTCTGCTCCAGGCTCAGAGGAGCCCGTGTTTGCCCGTCTCCAGCCCTCGTTCAGCGGCTGCTTGGAGAGATGCCGCCTCGGCGAGCGCAGCTTCAGCCGCCAGTATGCGCACATCTACGCCACCAGACTCCTGCAGATGAGAGACATCCTCGCCGACAGAGCCACGCAGAAGTGGGGTGAGAAACCTCTGCAAAGTCGCTGACAGGCTCGTGTTGCTGTTGTGTTCTGCCTGAGGCGCTTCTGAACATGACTGGATGTGTGTGGCAGGCGGTGTCGTGCCGATCAGGAAGCTGTGTGACCTGCAGACGGGTGAACAGTGTATAATAGTGGGCACCATATTCAAACACATGGAGCTGCAGCCCTCCATCCTGAAGGAGATCAGTGAGGAGGTAAAACTCCACCTGATGTTACAAACGCACGCTTCCTGTTCTCTCTATCATTACTCCTTTAACATGTCTTTTCTCTCTCTTCTTCAGCACAATCTATTGCCTCAACCACCTCGTGCCAAATACATCAGCCAATCAGATGAGCTTATTTTGGAGGATGAACTGCAGAGGATCAAACTGGAAGGCAACATTGACACTCCTAAGTTTGTAACAGGTGGGATACAGGAAAGTTAGGGAACATTTTTCAATAAATAGTAAGACAAACTGATCCGTCACAGTCTTCTCGGGCTTCTCAATCATAATGCTTTGTTGTAAAATGGTATTTTCAGGTAGTGTTATTGATATCATGGGTGCAGAGAAGAATGATGGGAAATTCACTGTTGAAGACTTCTGCATGGCCGACCTTCCTCCACAGACCCCCAGACAGCCTCTCAGCTCAGACAGGTGCAGAAACACACCTGACATGACTGATCAGAGATCCGGAGGTTGTTTTTTTTAGACATACTGATGTATGCAGCAGTTTTACAAATCTGGCCAATACATAACTGTTATGGCTGTTAACTGATAAATGATGAGTATTAAAATTAAGGTATTATTTTGTCTAAATAAATGGAAAATAAACCATTAAAAAAAAGAGAAAAAAAAAGAATGAAACCGTAAATTTGGAAATCACAACATGAGAATGTGCAGCGTGAAATATGGATATTCATTTTGGATTTAGGAAAGATTACATTTAATATTATTATTTAATTCATAGTATTTTAAAAATGAACTTTAAGTGAGTGTTATATGATGGCAAAAAGTAATCTAAATCAGAGAAAAAAAGAATACAAAAATATATAAAAAAATAAAGAAAAAAAATGTTGAAAGTTGCGATGAAATCAAATTTGACCAAATTGACAATTTAAATTTTTTTTTGTGGAATATTGCAGTGTTTATTATAAATGATTTATCAGTGCATATTGTTATATTTTTGGAAATCTTTTATACATTTTATTGTGATGGACATATATAAGACATAACAGAGAAGAAAAGACAGTCTCAGTTTCCATTGCATGTCGACTTTAATATATAAATTAACTTAAATGATTTTAGCAGATGGCTGCAATATAACAAAGAGTGAAAAATTTAAGGGGGTCTGAATACTTTCCGTACCCACTGTATATTGGCTGACAACCTAGCTGAATCGGATATATCATGCATCCCTAGTGTTGAAGTTGCACATACATGTCTGGTAATCACAAGTGGATTCTTTGACTACAAATGTTTTTGTGAGCAGGATGTATACATTGAAGCCTTCAGAAGGATGTTTAAAAGGTGTTTAGTACTTATACCAACTTTATTATGCTTTTCCTGGCTGATTTTAGTGTGACAGTTTAGAATTCACTTTCACCTTTTAACCTTTGCTGTTTTCTGGTTGCACAGGTTTGTGCTTCTTGCTTCTTGCCTCTGGCCTGGGGTTAAACGGCAGCAGAGCAGACAGCATGATGGGATTGCAACTTTTGGTGGATATGGTAACTGGTCAGCTTGGAGATGAGGGGGAGCAGAGCGGAGCAGCGTCCATCTCTAGAGTCATACTAGCTGGAAACCTGCTGAGTCAAAGCACTCAGGACAAAGACTCAACAACCAAGGTGTGCAAATGGGACTTACTTTTCAAGCAGCACTAATCTCACTTTTTAAGCAGAATTTCTATCACATTTAGTTAATTTTATAAATTAAACTCTTTTCCATTTGAAGGCAAAGTACCTGACTAAGAAGACTCCAGCTGGGAGTGTGGAGGCTATCAGACTGCTGGATGAGCTTCTAATGCAGCTAGTGGTGAGTGTTTTCAGCCCAAAGTGTGGACTTTGGTGAGGGACCAAAAAGACTAAAGGCGTTATTTGGGACATGGCTGAAATGTATTGTACTCCATTTATTCAGTATATCAAGCTTCTAGGACCAGGTTCTTAGTTGTGTTCTGATCTCACGCAGGGCTGGACAATAATTCAATATCAATATGTATCGAGATATAATTTTTTTCAATAACGGTGATATGATTTTAAAACACATTTCCGATATTACGATATACATTACCAGTTTCCCATACATTGATTTATTTGTGGCGTTTGACTTCGTTGAATAAACATGAGCACTGCACGTTTCAAAATCAAAAAATGTCGCGGGTGTTTTTATATAAATGTATCTGTGAAGGGAACCGACTGTCTTCAGAAAAGTTTCGATGTGATTTTTATTTTATCTGATAAAGAAGTGTTCATGAGCGGAGCTGATTTGATTACAGCCGTTACTGGAGAAACCGCTAGAACAAAGCGCGTCCTGCTGGCAGACAATCAGTTTGGATTTTCAATAAACCCGTCTCCAGCAACATTGTTTTGTTGTTGCTCTTTTTTTTTCTTTTTTTCTGCAGCAACTCAGAGCACTTATAATACTCTTTATACTGGCTAAAGCACATTTGTTTCAATCTATAAGAATAATCAGCCTACACTACCAGTCAAAAGATTTTTAACAGTAAGATTTTTAATGTTTTTTTTTTTT